GCAGTGATTACTGTAATTCACTGGTGAAATTCTTCAAAATGTCTTTCATTCTTCCAGTATCAATCCAGCCTAACACAGCCTCAAAAACATCAACTGTGTCAAAACTCAGTTTTATACTTATATAAATATAAAAATCAATTTGCAATAATCTACAGTATAATAAACTATTGATTGCAAAATATTATGATGAACTCATCTCTGTAATCTAATGGTTATAAAGTAATCAGTGCACATTTACTTAACACCTGTAGTTCATGATATTCCATGGTAAATGTTTGAAAACATGGAATTGGTAGTTTGGAAGCAGATTAAAAAAAAAGTTACGATTTTTAAAGAGAGTTGAGATTTAAACAGCTGCTGAATTGAAATAGTCCGCCCCCAATTTTCCCAGTTTTTGTTTACTTTCCGAGTTCAGTACAACAATGTCATTTATCACATTCACTGTTCACTCCTGTTGTCTGGTATCAAAATGGAGCCAATATAAATGGGTGCTGGTTTGGCCCTTGTGAGAACAGTGCCATCTCTTACTAAGTATGCAACATCATCTTAAAACTGCAGAACACCCTGCACCAGATCGGGATGGCACAAGTAGAAAGAAAAGATCTGCCATGAAATCTAATTGTGCCCAATTCAAATTACAACTGTGGCGCAACTGTATCTTTTCCCATCACATCAGAATCCCCTCTACTCTTGCCCTGTCTGAGAGTAGCTAGAGCCACATACAGCCTGTGATTCTCTGGGTCTATCGGGCTCAGTTCTCATCCAACTGAACCATTGGGGAGCTCCAACGTTTGTTTAAAGAAGGTAATTTGGTCGAGTTAGCTCAGTGTATGCAGGTGCAGAATATCATCAAAATGTGAAACATGAACACCTCATTTACATGCAGCACACACACTGTTGCTCAGGGTTGAGAGGCAGCGGATTCCATTTGGCTGTGTGCAAGATGCCCTGTAAAATACACTAAACTGACAGTGGCAGAACTGATGACGTCAAGCCTGGAGCAGAACATCATCTAAATATAAATGTAGCCTACTTCAGATTCAGCTGCATGTGAATGTGTCAAACGAATGGGGGGAAAATTGTATTGGTTTGTGAAAAAGTTACTGCAGGGGGAGGTAAAGGGTTTCATTTTTACACCATTTTAAACTGCGTTTTCTGTACACTGTACACAGACACCCGTGGACTGTACATTCTGATGGGCAGGTTTCTGCTAATCTCGTGAGAAATCAATCGCAGTCATTCAGTGGTTAGCAACAAAGAAATTAACTAGGATGCAAATGTGAATATTAGGCAATATTTAAGTTGGGGAGGGAATTCATTTATGGAGTGACCTCCCCCATCCCACCCCCATTTTGTTCTGAAGTATTTGTCCCAATTGTCATTGGAGTGTAATGGGGGTAACACAAAAATCAGAACAACACAATTATTCCACCCCCCCCACCCCACTCCCCCCTTTTCTTAAAACAACACTGGCTTGCTAACCAATCATAGTAGGGTGTGCAATGAAAACAGGAGTTGTGAAAATCATAAAGCACCTATTAGTCTCGCTCTCTCTAGCAATTAAACATACAGCACAAATAGAACCTCCCTCCTCACCAAGATTACCAAGCTGTCAGATGTTTGACATTTAGAAAGATGCTGCTGGCATTAGGAATGGCATGAACAGCACATTCGTATTGCATTCACATCACTATTTCTTTATTTGGTGCCCATTTGAGTACCGTATTTACTGCAACCAGATCAGCAGCATTTCAATGTAGAAAGGTTTCCAACTCTCAAAAATAAATCAAAACTTTTTTTTAAATAAATCGACCTTCATCCTAGAGCTTAACATTACGGTTTCAAATAAGATTTTCCATTGATGAAAAGATACAAATCAAACACACGAGAAGTAATGTTATTGTACATTTGCAACCCACTTCAGAACTGACAGCAAGGTAACAGTCTCATAGTGTATTTGCATCAATCAACTCACATTAAAGTTAGGCTAGTTAACTGTAAAGTTACAGCTAGGTCATTGCTACAGTAATGGGAGATCTAGCACTTAATTGCTTACACTAGATAGTGCATGTTTTTTTAAAAAAAATACTGCAAGACTCACTCCCAGACTCCCTTTAGTCCTAGTCAAAATAAGCTGAAACTGGAATGGATACAGCTTTCAAGTACTTCATAGTAAATCGGTGCATTTGGGTCAATTTCAATAAGACAAACAAGACTGCTTACAAACCATCAAATGATTATTGGTTTAGCTAATAAGTGTGTGGCTTCGCTCTCCTGCATTGCTGCATTTTGGAACTTTCGAAAATAATCAGAAGTTTTGAACCAAGCATCCATGAACAGAGAATTTTGTTTTAAGGTAATAATAATCCTTGCATTTATTATAGCACCTTATCACGTCTTTGAGATGCTCAAAACGCTTCACAGAATATACTATAAAATGAAGTGACTGTACATTTTTGTGGGGTAAACTTTTAATCTCACAGATTGACCAGTAGATGTAACATGTCATTAAAACCAAACTCATTTTTGAATTATCTTGTCTAAACATTTACTGTGCATTAACCACAACTGTGTTGCCTCAGTTCTTTCTTTCAGGCACAATTGCTCAGAAATGAATAGCATTTCTACTTTTTGCACTTTCAATCTGAATTCAATCTGATGTGCATCATCTGTGGTGCAAATAGAGCTGGTATTATTACATAAAGGATAATACCAATCCGAGGCTGGGCCTGTTCCTTTTTTCCTCCCCCTTCTCTAATTTTAACATGTATAATACGCATCTCGTCACATCAGTGTATTAGATCCAGTCAATCGGTATAACACTTTGATGGTTTGTAACCCAATGTTTTAATTAATTCAGAGATTCTAGCTTGCTATGAAGAACAGACTTTGACTGAAGTCGGACTGTCCTTGTTTTCTTTGTGCCTTCCAAATAAGATCCTAAGATTGTCACTTTCTACCAAAAATTGGAGCTGTACCGAGAAGAAAGTTCTGAGAAAAAACAAGTGTCATTACTATCCATAGCCTAACTTACTGTGTAAAGTTTCAACATCATCTCCTTATAATCCTGCTGTCATTAGCATAGGGGAAATATACTTTTGTACTCTTCTATGAGAAAGCAGTGTGTTTTAGTGATGAAACTTGTATTCTATTAGAACCAAGCGATGACCGCAAAACATGTGGTCATAAAGAAGACTGGCTGACCAGAGTTTCTTTTACCAGTCTGCAATATAGAGAAAGGAACATCATTTAGCATCTGCAAAATACAACAACGCGTAAGTGTAATTAAACACTTTGTCCAATGAAAGCACCAGTAAGGCACGCAACAATGAACAGGATGACTGGCTTCAAAAGCAAAAGTGCTTTTCACAGGCTTTTTAGCTTTGCACAATCTGCCTCTGCCATTGATAAGGTATTGTGTCCAATTGAAGGATACAATATATGCAACACCAAATTTGTCAAAGAATATTCTTAGATGTGGACAAAAACAAGATGCAAATGGACCTCGACAGTTCAGCACTTTGACAAACTATGTAAATATTAAAGACATCATATAATTCCAGCGTGAAGATGTGAAAATACATTCACAATGTGGCAACATCTACGTAGGTACATCGACTATTAAAGTGGGCCAGTCTCAGTGTTTACTCACTTGCCATGGTTAAGATAAGGAATGGGATGCAAATGGAAAGTAAGAAATACAGTATTGTTAAGAGAAGGGTTTCTGGAGCACTGTAAGAAATCACTTACCAAAGTTTACTATCTCTTCTTAAATGCTCTGCTCCCTTCCTTAGATGGACCCAACCTTAGGTGGTGCTGTATTCTGAAGCTCCCCATATTCACAGCCAGAATTCATAAACTTGTTCATGTCTTTCCTCCATAAGTTGGTCAACCCTCACCCACCTGCTTTGATGAGATTCCCAGCTTGACCACCACATTGAAGTGTTCAGAAAGTTAACAAAAGAAGAGTCCTGTAGCTCAGTGGTTAGAGCACTCGCTTTGCAAGTGAGAGACCTGAGTTCAATTCCAGGCAGAGGGCGAAACCTTGGGCAAGTTTCCTTACTCTACACAGAGCCTAATAATAATCCCTCCAAAACAAAACAATAATAAATTGGTCATTTTCAACCCACAACTTTTTGTGGGACATTGCTGTGCGCAATTGGCTGCCGCGTTCGCCCACAAATATACAGTCAATTCACTTTACAGTGTGTTCTGTGAAGCTCTTTGGGACGTCCTCCCGACGTGAAAAGCGCTCTATCAAATGCAAGGATTATTATTATTATTATATCCAGACACACTGGAAATTGTAAGGTACTAATTTATGCAAACATTTCTTCAAAGAAGAAACATTATTTTATAATATAGACTTAAATATATTAAAAAAAAGTATTCCCTTAAAATATGCAGTAATACTAAGGGGTGCTACATTTCTTGGCACATCAGTGCTTTCAAAGCAAATTTAGCCAGGCTAAGGAGCTCCCTGAAATCATCACCAACAGTCAATCCAATTCCTTGAACAGGGAGTTTGTTGACTACCAGTTTAATACTAGTGATCTTATCTAATTACATTTTTACCAGGTTGTTGAATTTTGGCTTTGAGTATGCTAAGGCACAGATCCATCGATCTGACACCTTGGGTTTCTGTGCATTGCTATGTCCTCTAGGTAAAGTGCTACTCCTTCTCAAATATAGCAAAGCTAGTGCTGAAACTCTTTTCAGCATCCTCAGGAAAATCAAATCAAACAGAACATTTAAGCACACAGACTGTTAGCCCTAGTGCCCATCAAGGACCACTGGACTAAGAAGGCCATATACCAAGTCAACAACGAGACAAAGTTACCTTGATGATAAATGAGTACTGTATCTGTTACTTATCCATTTTGAACATGTTGATCTACAAAATAGATCTGAACTTGTCAAATAAGTTTGCATCATTAGACATGGTATTACAAACAAATTAGGCAATGGTAGTAAAGGTTATTATTATTATTATCCTGTTTTAAACTGCTAGAAAGGTCTGAGAATTTTCAGTGTAGCTAACTGAAGAACAGCATTGTTTCCAAGAGATGTAACCCTCCCCATATTGGAAACAGGCCAAAGCGAACAAAGCCATCAGTGTACTGCAAAACGGTTTATTTGAATGTCAAAATATCACGGAATATAACTGAAAATGGATCCCACCAGTGGAGAGCTTCTCCCCCTAGACCCTTGTGGCCAGGGAGGGGTGCTGCGTTCCATGATTTTCTCCAACTCTCATTTTATAGGGATATAAATCTCAGTATTTTGACATTTCAGTGTTGGTATCTCTGGTTAAATAAGAGTTGTCACAGCACCAACACGTTGCTAATAGATTTCCAGGCTGTGACCGCTGAGGCTATGATATTCTACCGTGAATGAGGACATAACTGAATGAGTCAGAAAAAGCACTTAAATATCTTCACCACAGCAAGTACCATATCACGGAGTTGTTCGTCCCACAAGCTCCATCAGCGGACATCGGGTGCCTGGTACAGCTTAGTGCATGATGTCACGTGTCGATGGAAGCTGTCGCGCCACATGAACTTCTTCCCACAGATGTGACACTCGTACGGTTTGACCCCAGTGTGGATCTTCATATGGCCCACAAGATGGTGTTTCATCTTAAATTTCTTACCGCACACACCACAGCCATAAGGTCGAAGACCAAGGTGCATGCTCATGTGCCGATCGCGCTGACTCTTGTGAGTAAAATTCTTGCCACACTGGCAAGGGTAAAGTTTGTAAACCACAGCGGTGAAGCCAGAGTGAGAATTCTTTTCATTGGCTCCCATTCCTAGTTCAGCTTCCACGCCGTACCCTGGCAATCGATTGACCTGCATTTCAGCTGCCATTAAGGAGTCCTGGCGCAGGCCAACAACACCCATATCTCCTCTCTCAGCTGAAAACTCTTCCATTGAAGAACCATAATAATCAACCTGTTCATCATATGACCGATTTTCATAGCCTTCCTCAAAATCCTGCATTTTGGCAGCACCAATATGGAAGCCATTATCGATGCTGGAAGAGTGTATTACAGGTTCAGCCTGAGTAATATTTTCTGATTCCGACATATTCTGCCCTTCGGGACTAGGGCGAATCATCCCATCATCATAATCGTGTTCAAACTTTTCTTGTTTCACGTACACCCACCGTTTGTGAGGCATAATACTGGGTTGAGTGTAAACTGGCCTGACGTAGGGACATTCGGCTCCATCGCTCACTCCCTCCTCACCATCTTGGCTTGTCACCTCTGTGCTAAGCCGGTCATTCTCCCCTGAAGAATTGCTTGGAAGGTTGTCATGCTCGATTATGTCGGGCGGTGACATTCCATTCTCTTTGGGACTTTCTTCATCATTTTCGTCAGCCTTTGAATCTTCCACTAAATTTCTGCTAAGCTCGGGCTGTCCAATGGTTCCAAGTTCTGAAATCTCTCCAGGACCATTGAAATTGCTGCTGCTGGGAGATTGATGATTGCTCAAATGATTAGAATTCTGACGTGTAACTGCTGTGCAGACCTTTAAAAGTTCTGTACATTTGTCCACAACATGCCACATTTGAAGGAAGCTTGCCACTGTTAAATAGCTTACAATTTCAGCGGCTGGCAGCACTAGTCTCCCCGTGTAGCAAGATAGCAAAACATTTTCGAAAGCTCTTGGGTTCATCACATCTGGTAGAAGAATTCGATTACTGTTCTTCAGTAGTACTTGGTCACAAAAATACGGGGAACTGGCTGCAAGGACAGCCTTGTGGGCCCTGAATAAACAGCCCTGGACTTGAATAGCAATGTCACATAGATGTCCCTCTTGACGCTGTTGGTTTAACTTTTGAAGTAGAGTATTAGTAAAATTTGGGAACTCCACACGAAATAAATTAGTTGTTGTCTCCATCATGGACCAATCCAAGTACTGTTCAAAAGACAAGACAATAAATACAATTAAACAGAATTTAGCGAAATTGCACATCTTTCTGAAAAATGCATTCATCTTATGAAATTTACTCGTTAACATATTGGTTATTTTTTGCTAAATAAGTGAGAGAGACATACACACACCCACATACACACACAAGGCAGAGAAATAAAATGTAAATCCAGTTTAAATTCACCGATCAAATCTTGGACCCCAACTCTCAAGTCTCCCAACTCTCCAACCTTTGAACAATATTCCTGCTTTCTCACTCAGTGGTAGAGAAGAGGGGACTCATAGAAGAGGCATGAGTTAAACGGTTTAAGTACTTAACACATCAAAGTACCAACAACTGACTCTCTTTCTGAAATAATACCGACGTATGTGACAGACTTAATATACATTAATATTTGAATCCCAGGCAATGTAATATCAAACATGGATTTAAACCATATTTTTTCAAGATTCAGCACTATAAAGAGGCTTTTCCCCATGTTAGGTAAATATCAATTATACTTTTAAATCTGGCTTCTGGCAAAGTGAAAACATCAAACACTCAACTGGATCATACCTTGAACAATAATTCCCCCCAGCTCCTGCCGCTGGTGTAACAAACTTGAAATGTTTAGTTTTCAATCCAATTTGTTACACACACAAAACACATAACCTTCAAGTAAAAATAATGTTGTGGTCTTCAAACCACAGTAAACAACGATTACATTTCAATTGCAGCAATAATAAAATAATTCTGTTAGGATGTCTGAAAAGTATGGTACTCATGCTCATGACTAAAGCACAGGAATTCTGAAATACACTCGTGTAGCAAATGTAAATGGGAATTTGGTGGGGTTGGGGAAGGGGAATGTTTGCATTCTGTTTTCCCATGACTGTGGTAAATCTGGCACTCTCAGCATGGGGGTGGGTTGGGGGGAGATCTAATGTACCAACACATTCAGAGTCTGGCTGCTGGCCAAATTGAAAAAGATATTTCAATCTTGGATTTTATTTTTTGTTTTCCGTGGCAAAAAATAAAAGAAAAGAAGGTCTATGCCGGCTACTTGCTCTGTTACAGGCACACACTATTTCTTTCAACTTCAAGATTAAAACACAATTATATTTCTATCATTAGGTGGTGCAAACGCTCAAAATCTCTAGGGCAGAATTTGGCTAACTGTCCATTAACTGCTGGAAAGAGTACAGCAGGTCCTCAGTGTCTTCTTTCAAATTTCCCACTTTGCAAGAGAAAACTTTTACAGCAAAAAAGTGCATCTTCAATTCCAAGCACAAACAATGCACTAATTTTGATTATATTATGCATTTCAAAACAGATTCCCAATGTAACTCTTCAGATCTTAATACACATGTAAATATTAATTCTGTGAGTTTTAATTTCGAGGGTTACAACATCGTTGATTGGCCTTATATTTATACATGTAATCATCTAGCGTGGGACAATGATCAGCATCTCTTCTGAAAGGCAGTAATAAGGATACTAAAATAGGAGGCACAACCGAAAAAATAATCACAGCTAATAATAAGGGAATATACATAGAGTGAAGATGGAACTAAAGTATTCATTCCATGGCACTCATTATTGCTACAATATTAATATTAATCATCCTGAAGCTTTAACATTAAAAGCATATAGAAAACTCTTTTGCAGAAGTATAGCAGTGACCGTGGTAAATGGAGCACTGCAAAGGAAAGTTCAGTAACTTGAAGTTAGGTTGTAAATTAGCTGTTGTCGCTTGTGCATGTTGTATTAACTGAAACCACTTCAGAGCTCCTGGAGCACTGTACAAAAAAGTCATCACATCAACTGGTTTCAAGATGATGTTGAGCAGCAGACCATTTTCAGTCCAAACACTGACAGGGTCAGAAACAAATTTATGAAAAAAATTCAGCAACAAATTCTGCTTCCTTATTTGATGTTCAGTTGGAATGAAACTTGCTAAAGCAAATCCCTTTTTTTATATTTGTGGTTCAAAATGAAAAACAACAGTGAATGGAAGTTGTAAAAACATTAATACAGTAAAGGGCCATTACTTGCCTTGGTCACAGACAGGCAGGGGGGCTTTGTTTGAAGTCCAAAATAAATCTGTGCCTGTTATCTGTACAAGTTATAGCTGTATTTCTGGTTTTATGAAACAGTCTCCCCACCCTCAAAAAAAATGCCGCCATCTGGTTTAAATTCACACCATCTCTAAGCCTTTTAAAGCTTTGTAGACAGAGCAGCGAACATAGAAAGTAGGATAATGAATATCAATTTCATTTTAGGAAAGAATGCCACGCAGACAACCATGAGTTACAAAGTCAAAAGGGTCTTGTGAAGATTCCAATGGTCCAAAGTGTGTATTTTGTTTCACAATGGGAATAGCAACACAAAATAAATAAACTGAAATGTATGTATTTCTTATTTATGCTGCCAGTCCCGAATTTCTTTTACAACTACAGCAAATTGGAACGTTTTCACATTGGGAGGATCTCCCTTTACACAAATTTAAGATGTTTAACAAATTTTAAAAGTGGCTTAAGATGATCATTTTATGAACATGCTGTTCAACCTGGATTTGTCATGGAAAAAAACCTGAAAATTTTCAGTAGGTTTAATTTATCAGAGTCTCAGAGTTCACAAAAGAAACGTCTATGTATTTTCTATCCATGACTGTTTGTGGGACACTGCTGTGCGCAATTGGCTGCCGCGTTTCGCCCACAAATATACAGTCAATTCACTTTCCAGCACATTCTGTGAAATGCTTTGAGACGTCGAGAAGACATGAAAAGCACTATATCAAATGCAAGGATTATTATTATTATTATCTATAATTTTCTACTTCACTGACGCTTTTTCACAGGTAAGTGTACTTCACAACCGCATGACTCAGCCTGACAAATAATCAAGTGGAATTCTTATGCAGCTGAACTCATTTCTCGCACAGCCATTCTATGCCCAAAAAAACAACAAAATTACATTTGTATAGCGCCTTTCACGTTGGGAGGACGAACCGAGGCGCTGGACAATCAGTGTTTTGGACCCGAGGTTGGGATTGGGGAGGGTGGAGAGTAGGGGGGCAGGAGGGTGATCGAAGGCACGGTCGAAGAAGTGGGTCTTGAAGGAAGACAAAGACAAACAATCACACATTTGTAAACCATCCATATTGCATTGTATAATCTTGCTAACCTCACCTCTCACAGCAAATTTTCCTCTTGAGCATTCCCACATATTAATGTCATCTATATTACTGCATACATCAGTAAGCATCACCCAGCCTTTTATACACCTTTACAGAATACCTAGAAATATTTGAAAAGCTGAAAATATTTGGAGCAGCAGGATATTATGGAACTATATGGGCTATGCAACATAATCCATTGCTGCTTTGTTGGCCAACTATTTATTGTGCCCAGTCAAATGATGCACACCGTGCATCCTATATTTATACCATGAGTAAGAATGTTTACACAGGAAACTATTAGTATTGTCTCTGATAGAAGCCCATAACTGAATTATGCAAAACACTAAAGTGAAATTATCATTTATTTCTTCATAAATTCTTCATAAATAAAACAAACCCAATTATACTGTTTTTTTTATTTAAATATCAACTGGACTTGAGTTAATAATAATAATAATCATCCTTGCATTTGATATAATGCCTTATCACGTCTTTGAGACGTCTCAAAGCACCTCACAGAAAATACTGCAAATTTTGTAGGCAAAACAGCAGCCAATTGCGCACAGCAGTGTCCCACCGCAGTGTTACGGATTGAATGACCAAATTATTATTATTTTTTAATTTTGGATGGGTTATTACCCCTGGAAAAGCGATCTGCCAATCCACTAACAACCACGTTCTTACTTACTGCTAGGTAAACAGGCGTTTGGAGTAAGGAAACTTTCCAGCGTATTGTCCTGCCTGGTAGTCAACTCAACTTCAAAAGTTGAGTTGACTCAGTTTTAATAGAAAACAAAAAGATGGTAAAACAGAACCTATTTGTACAAGAGAGCTGAAGGTACTGAATGTGATGCGGAACAACAAGCTACACTCCCCACTGGTTGCTAACCGTTGCCTTGATGTCACTGGAGCATTGTGTATGGTAGTATCAGTTATGTGATATCTTCCAAGTGTAATGTTTATTTTCAAAGTGAAATATCAACATGCAGGATTGTGGATTGAAACACCAGAACACGGGACTGTGGAAAGTATCCATAGGATATAAACTGATAAGAGACTATGTTCTCCAAAGTCAGAAAAGCAACCTCTAACCTGCCTCAGCCCCAATCTCTGAACAATATTGCATACCACACCAATGTGATATGACCATTTTTCATAGCAATGTTCCTGTGGTTCTGCGATCAGAGATCACAGTGTGGTGTCACTTTTATACTGTGGGCCCACACCCATGTAACAAGTTAGTCCAGCCTTCTCAAACATTTGCCAAAGGATCTTAGAAAACAATCGAGGCAGAACTTTTGTTTTGAGGCAAATGTACTGAAAGTGAAAGAGTGGGATAATACGGCTACCGAGACAGATTTATTTTTTAAAATAATTCAAAACTGCATAAATATACTCATTATAAAGTTTATAAATGTAATTGAGTGGCCAGCCTGTTCAGGTGAATGTTAAAATACCATGGCACTATTCTGAAAGTGAAGGGGGATGTCTCCCAGTGTCCTAAACAACAGTGTATAATTGGTCATTCACTTTACGGCTGTTTGCAGGATGGTGCTACGTGTACGTTGGCCGCTGCATTCGCCCACAAAAATAGTCACCACACTTTACAGTATATCCTGTGAAGAGTTTCAGACATCCTCCTGATGTGAGAGGCACTGTATCAAATGTAAGAAGCGTGAATTATTTTCTCATGTAACGTCCACCTGAACAGGCACCTTAATGTTTCACCCACGCCTCTGACACTAGACTGACCCAGTGATGAGAACACCTGAGCCAGGCAGACGTTATAGGTGTGATATAAAAAGATTATTAATTACGAATAATAATAATAATAATACAGTACCCCCCCCCCCCCAATCCTTGGCAGCTAAATTCAATGTGAAACCAGCCAACTCTCAACCTAGCTTGCTGATACCACAGGTCCGGCCTACTTCAGTTCAAGTGGCACGCCCACCACACCGTAGCTGCGCGCCGATTGGTTCGGGCCCCCGTCAATCTCTCGCTTCAGCGCCTAGCTCGCGGCCTGCATTGGACGACGCGCCCGTCACTCAGCCTATCAGGGTAGGTTGTCTCCAGGGAAAGGGCACTGCGACGCTTCGATCAGCATCCCAACCGCCCCATCATCATCCCCATCACTCGGCGAGCGCCGGGGAGGCCTTCCCGGGTAAACTGTGAGGGCAAGGAACCGAGGGGCGGGGGGACGACGTGAAGATGTAAATAAAGCCGGAGAACGAGGGGGAATGTGAGAGAGAGAGAGAGAGAGGGAGAGACATGTTGCATGAGGAGGCGGCGGCAGCGGGGCCTGAGCGGCGCCGCGCGAGGCGAGCGGTGTTTGACGGACTCCTTACCTGTGCGCCTCCGCTTCACCTGAGCTCCCGCCCGGACAACCAACCGCCGCGCTCGCGCCGCCCCTCACGTGACCCGGCCTCGGGCCGGCACCGCTGCCACAGACACAGCCACCGCCGCGCGCATTGCGCCGTGTAAACAAACGGGGGAGGGGAGGGGGGCGGATTCAGCGCATGCGCACTCCTGACCCCTCTTTTTTTAACCCCCCCTCACGCCTTCAGCGAAGCGCAGGCGCACTCGAACCGCCTCCCGGTCACGTGCTCACCGCCAACTCCTTCGCCCTCAACCCGGCGCTGCGCAAGCGCGTGACTCCTCTTCCCTCGCAGAGCTGGATCACGTGGGCCAGGGCAACCACGTGCCCGTTACCTGGAGCATCTCAGTCCCAACAACAACAACAACAACATTACATTTGTACAGTGCCTTTCACGTGGCCAATGGCCTGGTCGAAGAGGAGGGTTTCGAGGCGGGACTTGAAGGAGGCTAAGGAGGGGTCGAGGCGGAGTGACTGGGGGGTGGAATTCCAGAGGTTGGGGGCAGAGTGGCTGAAGCTTCTCCCGCCAATGGTGGGGTGGGTGGGTCGGGGGACGTGGAGCAGCCAGAGCGGCTGAGCGGAGGGAGCGGGCGGGTTGGTAGGGGGTTAGGAGGTGGCAGAGGTAGGGTGGGGCGAGGCCATGGAGGGCTTTGTAGGTGAGGACCAGGATCTTGAACTGGATCCTCTGAAGGATAGGGAGCCGATGGAGTCAGGCGAGATTGGGGGAGATGGGGTCACGTAGTTTGGTGCGGGAGAGGAGTTAGTTCTGGATTATCTGCAGCTGTGGAGGGAGGAGTTGGGAAAACCGACAAACAGGGCGTTTGCATAGTTGAGCCTGGAGGTGATGAAGGCGTGAACACGAGTTTCAGCGGCCTGAGGGGTGAGGTAGTGGCGGAGTCGGACGATGTTACAGAGCTGAGCAAAGGCAGAGCGGGTCATGGCTTGGATGTGGGGAAGAAAAGGATGAGGGTCGAACAAGACAGTAAACCCAGGCATAGCGACTTTACAGCAACGTGCGACAACAACAATACATTATATTTACCCGGTGCCTTTCATGTTCGGGAGGACATCCCAAGGCGCTGGACAGACAAGTCAGAGATTTGGACTTGAAGAGTGGGTTGGGACCAGGAGGGTTGGGGTGGGAGGGTGGCCGAATGCGCAATCAAAGAGGAAGGTCTTGAGACGTGCTTTGAAGGAGGCAAGACAAAGTGACTCGGGTTCAAAAGGCAGAGAAGCTGAAGGCCCGACGGCCGATGGTGGGGCGGGCCAGGCAGGGGACGCGGAACAGGAAGCAGCCTGTTGAGCGGAGGGAGCGGGCAGGTTGATATTGGGTTAGCAGGTCACAGAGATAGGAAGGAGCAAGGCTGTGGAGGGCTTGGAAGGCGAGGACGAGGATTTTGAATTCTATCCTCTGGGGGATGGGGAGCCAGTGGAATCGAGCGAGGGTGGGGGTGATGGGGTCATGGAGCTTGGTGTGGGAGAGGACATGAGCTGCAGAGTTCTGGATGATCTGCAGCTTGTGGAGGGAAGAGTTGTGAAGACCGACAAGCAGTGAGTTGGCGAAGTCAAGCCAAGATGTAATAAATGCATGAATGAGGGTTTCAGCAGCCTGAGGGGAAAAGCAGTGGTGGAGCCGGACGATGTTGCGGAGGTGGGTGAAAGCAGAGTGGGTCATGCCACAGATGTGGGATAGAAAGGACAGTTGAGGCTCAAACAAGATGCTAAGGTTCTGGACTGGCTCGGTAAGGTGGAGGTCCATCCATGGATGGAGATGCTATCGGTGCCTGAGGTGTGGAGGTGCTGACATGAGTCAATCAGGAGGACCTCAGTCTTGTTGACATTCAATGGGAGAAAATTAGCTCTCATCCAGGACTTGATGTCCGACAGACATTCTGTCAGGACAGCAGTGGTCCTGGAGTCGAGGGTGGAGGCAGACAGAGAGAGTTGGGTGTCATCCACATACATGTTGAAGTTGACCCCATGTCTGCGGATGATGTCACCAAGGGGGAGTATATAGATATTGAAGAGGAGAGAAACCGCGTGTAGTACACACCTGGTTCAGCATCTCCAAGCTCTTCACGGGTAACTGCTGACAACTATAGTATATCTCAACACGATTCAATTGGCGAATCGCTTTTCTAGAGGTAATAATCCTGCCAAAAATAATAATAATTTGGTCACTCAATCCATGACTGTTTGTGGTGCCCAATTGGCTGCTGCGTTTCGCCCACAAAATATACAGTCAATGCACTTTACAGTATGTTCTGTGAAATGCTTTGATATGTCTCAACAATGTCAAATCAAATGCAAGGATTATTATTTTAGGTGGTGACTGCTTTCTTTCAAAAAGACAAACAGCCCAGCCAATTTGCACACTGCAGTGACCCACAAGCTTTGAAATTAGTTGGGGTGGGGGGGTAGTTGTTTGCCAGGAGAAAGTCCCTATTCTTTTTCCAATACAGTCTTAAACAATGCGTCCTTAAGCTGAAGAAGCAGATGGTTCCTTGGTACAACTTTAGCATATCTTTACGGCTACTCAGCAATTACTCTCCCCCTGGATTACTGGGTATCGTTGACCAAACCTATATACAGAGTCCGTTTCCCCACAATAAAAAAGTTATTATCAACCAAGTCCCAAACCCAAACTCTTAAACTAAGCTACTCATCTGAAGAGTTACGCAGTATCTCCTTTACCTGGAATACAAACTTTATTGGACTCCCCAATTAATTGGACCAGAAGATGCCAAGCAATGGTGTCAGCCTAACAGCCAAATCTAAAGCACTCACTGTGTCCTTCAGAAAGGTTTAACAAGGCGACTTGTTCTCAACATCGGCAAAAACAGCAGAAACAAGCATTGGCTCAAGTGATGTCACTGGGGGCCATTGTTACAAACAAGTTGCCAGGTGACAGATACAGCCCGGCTGAGTCGGTCAGATTTTGTCTCGGGGTCAGCGAGTTGTTGACTCAAAAACGTAACCTCCCCCCCGCACCCCCACCCCCACTGTACGCTTCGTGTTTGCAAACGTCACAAAGTGGCCCCGGTGTGCCCGAAAGATTGTGCGTGTGGTCTGGGCTTGATATGGATTCACCCACTCACGCTGAATATCTTTTGTGATAACAGCATTCGGAGGCACCATCTGCAGTGATAAGCCGTGTTTCATAGAATCATAGAAAGTTACAGCACCGGAGGAGGCCTTTCAGCCCATCGATCCTGCACTGGCTCTCAAAGCAAGAAACTCATACAGTCCCATTGCCCCGCCCTATCTCCCTCTTTACCTTTGTATACCTGTCTATTTCCATATTGAAACTTACAACGGTCTCTGCCTCTAACACCTTAGCAGGTCATTCCACATCCCAACAACAGAAATGTGTAAACATTTCTTCTAAACTCTCCTTCCACTTTCTTGTGACTGTCTTCTAGCTGTGCCCTTCGCCCGGCCACGCCCCCGCCAGTCATTGACTCCCCAACCAAGCTAGAAGATATTTGCCTACAAATACACAGTCACTACACTTCACCTGTTAGATGCCATGAAGCACTTTGAGATGTCTTGACCACGTGATAAAGAGGTTTATCAAATGCAAGGGTTATTATTATGATGATAGCTCTTCATAATTGAAAACCATATCAACAATATAACTCAATTAAATCTTTGGTATAATAATCCTTACATTTGATAGAGCGCCTTATCACACGTTGAGATGTCTCGAAGCGCTTCACAGGATATATTGTAAAGTGGACTGACTGTGGATTTTGTAGGCGAATCAAGTTGAGGGGTTATTCCCCACAAATTTCTGATTGAACGTACAGCCCCCAGCATAGATAGGCACAATTCGTGTTTATAATAGCCCATCGCTGCGCGATGTTTCAGTGCGAACAAGCGTGGATTAATAAAGCAATGCTCAGGGGACGCAGACTTACATTATAAAGTGATTCAGCGCCAGATCTGCTAAGCCACACTTCAGCCAGCTGATGGTGCTAGAAGCTAGGTATTGCAATGAGCTGACACCATGCAGCCACCACAGAGACTCTCTCTCTCTCCACTGCATTCCAGCATAACAGGATTCTAACGTAAGCAGAGTCTCCTTGGAGCTGAACTGGCCCCCGAGGTGACTTGCCTGGCCATGGCGTGTGGGAATGGAGTCAGCCCTCTGTGCCGGTCTCCGGCCCGGGTCCTGAGCCAGGAGGGTCCGCAGTGTTCCAGGGCACTCGATGCTGATGGCAGCACAGCCCGGTCTGGCTCATCGGCAGGACCTGGAAGGGCCAACCAGTCACTGGGGGGCGGGGAGTCATCCCGCTCAGCTCCTGCTAACCCTGCAAACCAAAGCCCTGACGGGGAGAGTTGGGAAGCTTGCTGGTGGCAATATCGATGGCAAACTATGCCGGTTTACATGGAGCAGGCCAGTGCCCACTGAGCAGAGGGAGCGGACAGGTTGATGTGGCAGTGCAGCGATGCGGGGAAGGGGGGAACTCCGCATTGCCTGAGGTTCAGAGGAGATGGTAAACCAAACCCCGTGCCTGTTTCCAAGCCTACAGTGTTAGTTGTGGAGCAAGCAGGATTTTCACAAAGCGATGGTTTAGGACATGATAACAGAGTTAAAGATCTTGAGTAAAATCAACAAAGACCACAGGGTGAAATACAGTAATGTTAACTGGAATACAATGCCTGGAAGACAGTGCAGGAGAGAGCAACAAGGCAAATTGGAAGGGGTGAGTTACGAGGAACGATTAGATAAACTAAGAGACGTCTCAATGGGGACCTTTTAAAAATAGATTAGATACTTGAGATAGAGAATGTCAACCAACAAAAATACTTGCAGATACATCACAGCGGACAGACAAGAGGGCGACAGGTTCAGAGTGTGAAGAGCAAGTGTATTTCTTCAGCCAGAGGGTGGTCAACAGCAGGGGCAGTGAGTTAGGCCAGGACACTGGGCTCAGGAAACAGCTTGATGCTGCAAAGGGAGGACAGTGGTGATGGAGAAGAGGTTGAGATCAAATGGGCTGAAGGGGCCTTCTTCATCTCAACATCTCCTGTGATCTTCACAACAGCCATGTAAACGCAG